GCCCCCGGCGCGCAGGCGCGACGAAGCGAGTGCCGAGCGCTCCCCCCGCTGCTCCCATCGATGCGCTCGGCGCTCTGGGCGGGGCGCAGGCGGGGCAGGGCCGCGGGGCGCCGTCGCTTGCAGGCGCCAGCTCTTCGTTTTGCCAAACTCGAGGTCTCTTAGTGGATGGTGCCTGTTATGAGAGAGACCCACTAAGAAATCACCACAAAAAAAACATCTTTTTCTGCAAGCTGTCATCTCCCCAAAGACCCTCGTCTGCCTGTTCCCGTCCCGCTCACTCGCACCCACCGCCGCTGCGCTCGCAGGGGTAGAGGCTGCTCTGCCTGCTCGGTGTCTAACGGACGCAGATGTTGAAGTGCGCTTCTGCTGCACCCCGAACACCCGCCACTGCCCCGACTTCTGTACCGCACCGGCGGCTTGCGCGTAAACCTGCGTTGCACAAAAGCAGCAGGGAGCAAGAGGAGCCATTCGCTTTTCATAGATTTCTGGAGTCAGAAGAGACCTGGAAGATTATTGGATCCAACCCCTGCTCCAGGCAGCAGAGCACTGGGGTCAGGTAACCCCGGCCTGATGCGAACACTGCCGGGGGGTAGAGCACCACCTCCCTTGGGAGCCCGTTCCAGATTTTGGCAACCCTCACTGTAAAGAATTTCTTCCTTGTACACATGGGCGACGCATAAGGGGTGCACGCAGGGGCACATGCATCCCCTGAGCGTGGCAGCGCACCCCCTACAAAAAGACCACCCGGCTGCTGACAGCGCCAGCGGGAACTCTGCACTTGCCATTGCTGCGCTCCAACTGCCACCACGCTCCGCTGCCACCACTGCCACGGGTTGGAAGGGACCTCAGGAGGCCATCTAGTCCAACCGGTATTAGATTATAGATGCATTTCATATCTTAAGATGCACAAAAATATATACATAATGGTTTGTTCTTCATGGTGGAATTGAATCACATTTAGGTGCCTAAGTGCACTGACGTGGCTAATAGCAGGATAGATCTTGGACCCTCACAAGCTCTTCAAAGATGCTGGCAGCCTTCGCCACCACAGCAGCCCTCAAAAATTGCACCTTTGGGGCCTTTGTGCATGCCATGTTTTTTGCCTTTTCTTGCACTGCAGCAGCTTGTAACCAGGATTTTTTATGCCCCTTCCCAAGTCAACAGGCAGACTCTCCTCATCTGGTTTCCTCTCTGATTTGCTGCATGCACCAACCAAAAAAACCACCTCTGTCTGCTGAAGCAGCATCCAGGGAGATGCATCAATCTAAAGAGCCACCTTAATGTGCTGTGTCATATGTAATTATGTGCAACTTGTGAGCTCTGTCAAAACCTAGAAGCAGGTGCCAGCAGGCAAATCAATGTGATGTGGCCAGCCGTGCAGCCTGGAGCTTCCCACTCAAACCCACGAGTACAAGTTCATTAGGTCTGCAGGGCCATGTAATCCTTTAAGCCAGTGGTTCTCAACCTGGATAGACTCGAGGCCCCCCTTGCAAAATGTCAGCTTCTAGTTTTTGCTCGTGTTTAGCCGCAGAAAAATACCAGAGCCGTGCTTCCGGTACAGGCTGGGGGTGACTGCTTGGGCAGCAGCTTTGCAAAAACGGATCTGGGGGTGACAAGGGACAAGAAGCTGGATAGGAGCCAGCAGTGTGCCCTGTTGCCAGGAAGGCTAATGGCATCCGAGGCTGCACTGGGAGGAGCGCTGCCAGCAGATTGAGAGAAGTGATTCTTCTCCTCTATTCTCCACTGGAGAGGCCACATATGGAGTCTTGGGTCCAGTTTTAGGCCCACCACTACAGAAAGGATGTGGACACATTGGAGAGAGTCCAGTGGAGGGCAATGAAAATGGTTAGGGGCTGGGGGACATGACTGGTAAGGAGAGGCTGAGGGAACTGGGCTGATTTAGTCTGCAGAAGAGAAAACCGAGGGGGATTGAATAGCAGGCTTCACCTCCCTGCAGGGGGCTGCAAAGAGGATGGAGCTGGGCTGTTCTCAGTGGGGGCAGATGACAGGACAAGGAGCAATGGGCTCAAGTTGCAGCAAGGGAAGTTGAGGTTGGGTATTAGGAAAAGCTTTCTCACTAGGAGGGTGGTGAAGCACTGGAACAGGCTCCCCAGAGAGGTGGTGGAGTCTCCATCCTTGGAGGTTTTGAAGACACGCCTAGACAAAGCTTTGTCTGGGATGATGTAGTTGGGGCTGGTCCTGCTTGGAGCGGGGGGTTGGACTAGGTGTGACCTCCTGAGCTCCCTTCCCACCCTCATTTTCTGTGATTCTATGACTGAAGTAAAGGGACTCCCTCATTGCTGCCTGAATAGAAATGCTGCTGCCACTGCCAGGCAGTTGGTTTTAAACCTCAGAGAAGTCAGGAATCAAAGGAGGGGATGCAGCCGTACCACTGCGCCCTCCCTCTATCCACCTTTGTCTGTATCTTCTCAAGGGCATTTCTTGGATAGAAAAATCCTGGTAGCATTAGCAATTCAGGAGCAGATGCATTTCACTTGCAAGCAGTGGTCTGACTATTCCTCAGGAAAGCAGGACAATGGTGTACTCATCCCATGGATCACAGACTTCAAGTGATAAATTATAACTGCTAAATGCTACACTGAGCCATTGCAGACTTCCTTGCAAAACCGCACCTGCTTGGGCCAGGTGCCAGATGATTGGAAGGTAGCAAATGTGGTCCCCATCTTCAAGAAAGGGAAGAGGGAGGACCCGGGCAACTATAGGCCCGTCAGTCTTACCTCAATCCTGGGGAAACTCTTTGAGAAGATCATCAAGGAGCACATTTGTGATGGGCCGGCATCAGAAATGATGCTCAGGGGCAATCAGCATGGATTTATTAGGGGGAGATCATGTCAGACCAACCTGATTGCCTTCTACGATCAGGTCACAAAGGCCATGGATGCAGGTGTCGCGGTGGATGTAGTCTTTCTGGACTTCAGCAAGGCCTTTGACACCGTCTCTCACCCCATCCTAGTTAAAAAACTAGGCGACTGTGGCATCGATGCCTACACAGTCAGATGGATTGCAGATTGGCTGAGGGGTCGCACTCAGAGGGTGGTGGTGGATGGGTCATATTCGACCTGGGGGGAGGTGGGTAGCGGAGTCCCCCAGGGCTCGGTCCTGGGGCCTGCGCTGTTCAATTTCTTCATCAGCGATCTGGATGATGGGGTGGAAAGTAACCTGTTTAAATTCGCTGATGACACCAAAATTTGGGGGGAGGTGAGCACGCTAGCAGGGAGTGAGAGATTGCAGAGGGATCTGGATAGGTTACAGGGGTGGGCTAACAGGAACAGGATGCGTTTCAATACGGACAAGTGCAGGGTGCTGCACTTGGGCAGTAGGAACCAGCAGCACACTTACACAATGGGGAACTCCCTACTCGAGAGCACGGAGGCAGAAAGAGATCTTGGAGTCATTATTGACTCCAAGATGAACATGGGCCGACAATGCGAGGTCATGGTTGGCAGGGCTAACCGGACCTTGTCGTGCATCCACAGGTGCATCTCGAGTAGAGCCAAGGAGGTGATCCTCCCCCTCTACGCGACGCTGGTCAGGCCACAGCTGGAGTATTGTGTCCAGTTCTGTGCGCCCCATTTCAAGAGGGATGTGGACAACATGGAGAGGGTCCAGAGGAGGGCCACCCGCATGATCCGGGGACAACAGGGCAGACCCTACAGTGAGAGACTGCGGGACCTGAACCTATTCAGCCTCCACAAGAGAAGGCTGAGGGGGGACCTGGTGACCGTCTATAGACTCACTAGGGGGGACCAGAAGGGTTTGGGGGAGACGCTGTTTCCCCTAGCGCCCGCTGGCATAACAAGGAGTAATGGGCACAAGTTGATGGAGAGGAGGTATAGATTGGACATCCGCAAAAACTACTTCACAGTTAGGGCGGCTAGGAGCTGGAACCAACTTCCAAGGGAAGTGGTGCTGGCCCCTACCCTGGGGGTCTTTAAGAAGAGGCTGGATGCCTACCTGGCTGGACTCATTTGAGTCCCGTTTCTTGTTTTGGGGTTTTGTTGTTCTCCCGCCCTGGTGGGGGGTCGGGCTAGAAGATCTACTAGGTCCCTTCCGACCCTAAATCTATGAAACTATGAAATCTCTGAGCTACCAGAAAAATTCCATTCCTGTCTACCCTGGCGAAATGCTAACAGAGCAGAGTTAATTTTTGTAGTGAAACAGGAGCAAAATTTGGCCCCTGTGTGAATGGATCAAGGAGGGCATCCTTTTATGTACAGCTTACAAGCCACCAGACCAGCTTTGTCTGGCTGCAGCCTTTCAACACGAAGTCTTCCAACCCTTGTCAAGCCCTCGCAGCTATCACAGCCATGTTTTTCTATGACACTCTTTAGGTAGTCGGCTTTGTTGTTTCGATACTCCACAGTGCTTTTGAAGGGAGAAGCACCGTGATTCTTGCAAGTGCTGCTGTCTTACCCAAAGAGTGGACTCCTAGCAACTCCTCAGCCCCCAAAGTGCAAAGTTTCTTGTAAGCCACCATTTGTGTCATAATAACTGGTTTGTTCTTTTAAGAAGCTTTCTATAGAGGCAACGGAGGGGGATTCTCCTTTGCTTCCTCCTTTCACAGAATCATAGACAATGAGGGTTGAAGGGAGCTCAGGAGGTCACATCTAGTCCAGTCCCCTGCTCCAAGCAGGACCAGCCCCAATTATATCATCCCAGACAAGGCTTTTCCATCTGGGTCTTAAAAACCTCCAAGCATGGAGAGTCCACCACCTCTCTGGGTAACCTGTTCCAGTGCTTCCCCACCCTCCCAGTGAGAAAGTTTTTCCTAATATCCAACCTCAACTTCCCTTGCTGCAACTTGAGCCCTGTTAAGGATGGCTTCCTTGATAAT